TGCTTTGAGCAGGGGGTTGGACTAGATGACCTCTTGAGGTCCCTTCCAACCCTGATATTCTATGATTCTATGAATGTGCTGTAAATGAATCCCCGTCCTAGGCGGTCTAGCTCTCTGTGCACTAGGGCTTTTCTGATCCTGCCCGGCATTACTCTTAGGCTGCCTTTAGTACTTGGGATTAGCCCCAATTTCAGCTATCGGTAACAGCAACTGCTGGGCCTGAAACAAACAAGCAGCTGCCCTTTCAGTGCCCACTCCATCTTGCAAAGCCTGGCTTTCCTTGTCTAGACACAGTGCTACTGGTCACCCGCCGTAACCTCAGGCTGTGTCTACACTAGCCACTTTTCTGAAACGTTTCCCAGCCTTGCTTAGGGTGGCTAGTACAGGGAGTGCTCCAGGCAGCTACTGGCATTTAATTCATCACAACTCTGCTCTGAATGGGTCTGAGCAGCCCCGTGCATAACTAGCCTTGCCTAGACTAGTGCTATCAGCAGTAGAGTAATGAATTAGGGGCCCTATTTTTGCCAGTGTAAACAATGCTGCAGGCGCTGTTTAGAGCGGGGCATTAAAAACTATTAGCGTAGAGTCATAACTAGAGAGACACCACGGTCTAGTCTAGTGGATGTAGAACTGAACTGAGACTCAGGAGATTGTGGTTCTAGTCCTAGATGAAATGCTGATGGGGCAGCCGTGTGACCCTCTCTGGGTCACAGCTTCCCCTCTCTCATTCAGGGGATGTCTACACTGCGAAGTTGTCGACAAAACTTTTGTCTTTCGCCCGGGGAGGGGGGAAGGGGACACTTTTTTAAGTACCCGTGAAAAACGAAAGTTTTGCCGACGCAAGTGGCAGTGTGAACAAGGCTTTGTCGGCAGGAGCGCTCCCCTGCTGACAAAGCTAACGCCGCTCATGGGGCTGGAAGTATTTTGTCAGCAAAAGTACCGACAAAGAGCGTTTACACATGCTGACATTTAGCGACAAGGCTGTGTCGACACAAGGCCTTGTCGCTAAAAGCTGCGTGGTGTAGACAAGCCCTTAGTCTGTCTTGTCAGACTGTGAGCCCTTTGGGTCAGAGACTGCCTCTCACGGTGTCTCTGAATAGTTCCCAGCACTTTCCAGCTCTTACTGGAATACAGATGACAATACTAATGTAAGAGGGTTTGTGCTAACAGCAAAGCTGGTTGAATAGTAAACAGAAGTTACAGATTCACTAGTATTTCAAAAAAAAA